CTCATAGGGTCTATGTCCCCCAGGGTATTATCGGTGGGTACCCTGGGTATGGTTCGATATATCGGAACGTACCCTGGTAACTATCTGATATGGTTAGGGTTAGGATTAGGGTTAGGGAGTAGGCGAGGTACGGTCCGGCATATTAGATAGTACCAGGGTACCCTCCGATAGTACCCTGGGGGATATAGACTCTCTCAGCATAATTAGTATATATAATTATGGAGATGAGTGATTGCCTGCTGGCCGAGTCCTTATCAATGGCATAGTGCTGCCATCTGTAGTCACATTATTGGCCTGAAATGAACATTTTTGAAAATATCTAACATGTTTATAACATATCTATCGAATAAATAACAATGTACTAATTTTCCGTAGCAGTTTATTGGTAGGCACGTAATTTAGATGCGTGTGATAGGCTCGTTGTATTGTATCGGTCATGAATATCAGATGATTACAATATAGAGCAATCTTCCAGAAATAAATGCATCCAACTGAACACAGGTCCAATTTAGGATGAATGCTCTAATGGATAAGTCATACGTTGACACACTTTGGGATAACTGGTCACTCTAGTCACTATAGCATTTGCTGTACTGCATAGTGAATGCAACCATGACTAAACAGCCAAGCAGCAGTAAACCAACCTTGCACTTCGTTTAGCATAGGTGTGGGTTTGCCCATTTATTGTTCGTCGCGGGGATACTATGGTTTCATGTCTGTCCAGCCGCCGCCGCCGCCGCAGACACTTTCCCTTCCGCTCTATAACTCGACCCCTAATTGACCTAGCGTGACCAAACTTGGTCTACTTACACGTACATCTTGGGGGGGGGGATTTTAACATACTTGCACATCTCCGGCAGATGAATTGTGTAACAAACCTTTGTCTTTGTGACTTATTTAACTTTACCTACCTTCTACGTCTTTACAGAGATATTTCATAAATACTAGATCACGGGGGATACATGTAGTTGGCGACAACTGCCCTTTCTAGTTACTGATGGTGGCCACTATCACATTCACCAGTCATCGTATTAGCGTTTTGTCGTAACGTATTCGACTGTTTAAACGTGTTGTAATAGAACTTGTCGTTATCATAGAACCACGACGTTCCCGCAAAATGTTGTAACAGCAGTAGTCATTATTGCCGAGTTACGACGTAACTGTCAACTTGATAAGCTATACATTTACATCAAGAGTAGATAATAACATGTGTTATTATCTACTCTTGATTTACATACATACTTATTGTCCAAAGTAGAGGAATATTGCTTTACGTAACAATATATTGTTATAACATATGTGTAATATGTCAACGTGCCAGTCAGATTGAGAAAAGAGATTCTACCTCTGTTTATGATGGGACCAATTCATCTTGGACTTACGATAGAAGTTACGCGACACACACATCACTCGCATGGTGATAAAGTCTCTATCGTACGTGCCAGGAATGCTGGCGTCATACCAGACAGTCGTAGAACGTCAAAGTCTCTTACACTGCAGCTCGAACAATCACAACGATTTACTCTTGAGATTGAGACGTACGTTGATATCAGCGAATCGACCAATCAGACTGATTCAAACGCTCGAACACAGTTTCTGCTGCCACCGATGAAATCTCTTCTAACTTGTACCTAGCTCTGTAACTTGTCTCATAACAACTAGCGGTGTGACGTCACTGTCTCGTCATGGCAGGACAGCATGCGTTCATTCTTTCCCGTCTCCTGTAGGTATGACGGTGGCAGTGACTGGGTCGCTCTCAGCCGAGACTTCTGTCGGTATCTCGTCAGCTCCGACGATGGCCTTCTTTCTGGCCTGAAGAAAGTCTACGCGTTTACGCTGCTACCTGCAGAGGTAGGTAACATCACTAACATGTATGGGTAGTAGTAGGTGTATGTATACACACAGTAGTGTAGGTAGCACGGGCAGTGGTTGTATACGTAGAGGTAGGTGAAGTGTGTGGTGGTAGGTGTATACACACACAGGTGTAGGTAGCGTGGGCAATGGTTGTATACGTAGAGGTGGTGAAGTGTGTGTGGTAGGGTATCACACACAGAGGCTGTAGGTAGCACGGCAACTGGTTGTATATGTAGAGGTAGGTGAAGTGTGGTGGTGTAGGTGTTGCACACAGAGGTGTAGGGTACACGGGCAATGGTTGTATACGTAGAGGTAGCTAAAGTGTGGTAGTAGTTGTATACACACAGAAGTAGGTAAGTAGAGATGGAGGTAGGTAGGAGTAGTTAGGTAGGTAGGTAGGTAATACGCTTGGTAAACTTGTGATATAGGAAAAACATTACACAATTCCATTTTCCCCAGTGGGACTGGCGACCATTCTATTGGATATCGTGAGAGAAAAAACAACAACAAAAAATCGCAACGAGATGTATTAAAATACTTGGGTTCCAGTAGCTGGAAGCAGACCTATTGTTTTTAATATAGGTGCGGATCGAGAGTATATAAATTTATTATAATGATCTACTCTCAGTGTAAATATAGGTAGCCATCTTTGACTATTGTATGTCTTGCCTTCACACACTATACTCCCCATGCAGACACATGGCGAATCACTTAGATTGCCAGGTTTGGACGCGTTGCGTGTTTTTTTTTCGTGCGCTCCCATTTGCGTAACAAGGCGGAGAGACATTTGCATATTCTTGAAATTGGAGATTATTCAGAGTGATTTGTGATGTTAGCGCTTGCCCACGATTTATAAATACACTTCCATCTGCTAATGAAGAGTCTGAGGAGATTATTCCTACTAATGCTGCACATTGCTATTTCACTAGAAGCAAATAAATTATTTTATAATTTTATAGATTACTAGTCTGATAAATTATTTTACTGGAGAGATTTTTTGGGGAATCAGAGAGCAGATGCACAAAACAATTGTTTGTTTGTTTGCTCAAACACACGACACGGGACAGCGTAGGATTTCTCATGCTCAGAATCTCCTATATGAGAAAGCAACCCAACCAGAGTTTCATCTTGATATTAACTGTATTTCATCACGCAAATATGTATAATTGCACCCACATCACGACGATGTAATGTTTGTTTGCCTGTAACGACGAAAACTGTATTTCATCACGCAAATATGTATAATTGCACCCACATCACGACGATGTATGTTGTTTGCTGTAACGACGAAACTGTATTTCATCATGCAAATATGTATAATTGCACCCACATCACACCTATGTATATTATTTGCTGTAACGGCTATAGTCACGCTGTCACGCGCTGTGATACAAGATACAAGAATCTTTATTTAACGTCGGGTATCGTACAAACAATAAACATTAGCCCTGATGGGCTATTTTTCGGACAAACATTAGTGAATAACAATTCTGGTTAACAATATAAAAATGTATAATTTTTCAGCGGTATATAGATTTTAGACTTGTCTTAAATCAAAAAAACAGTTGCAGTTTAATATGCATCATCATACGTAATCTGCATCATATCGCAATCATATCGTAATGCGCAGTTTAATACTCTCTCATGCTCTACTTTCTCGGCGTACTCCCACAGTCGTTCTTCCACACCGTCATACGTAACAGCGAGTTCTGCGACACGTACGTGGACAACAACCTGCATGTGACGAACTGGAAACGCAAGCAGGGCTGCAAGTGTCAGTACAAGCACATAGTTGACTGGTGCGGCTGCTCACCGAACGACTTCAAGCCCGGCGACCTCATACGATTGCACGTAAGTGCCCCCTGGTGGCGGCGATGATCATCGCTGCTTGCCGCCGAGATCGAATCTGTCTCTGTTTCTACATACTGTTATTTTTATTTTGTTGAAATTTGTGTTTTCCGGGGGTAGTTATGTAGAGATGAGAGTAATTGAAGCATAGTGTAGTGGGAAGAGATTAATTTTGCAATATTTGAATGACAAATTTGGAAAATTTTATTTGTACAATTACAAATTTGTAATAGGAAGCGCTGTTTTTTTCGCCAAATCTTCTTCTACAGGCAACTGAAAGTCGACCGGTGTATTTTGCGCGCAAGTTTGAAGCTATTATCAACCAGCAGATTATTGAAGATGTAGAAACCTGGCTATACGGACCAAAGCACGACTGTGAGTGTTACTAACGCACTGCCTGTGCTGATCTCTATATATTAACATGTTAATATATATGGTATCAGGAGCGTATAATGACAAAGGAGTAAGACAGCGATTTGGTACTGATTTCACTACATTTTTGTCGTACGAGTTCGATGTGAATAAAAATACAAATGTATACAAACATGAGCTTCTTTTGTTCACTGGTCCTTATTCTATCTTCCGGTAGTATTACAAACCGCGTAGCTTCCTNCTCTCTCTCTTTCTCTCTCCCTCTCTCCCGCTCTCTCTCCTTCTCCCGCTCTCTCTCCTTCTCCCGCTCTCGCTCTCTCTCCCTCTCTCCCCGCTCTCCCCGTCTCTCCCCACTCCCCCATGCCTTCAGCATTTGGCGTCACGCTGGGACGTGCAGCTAAGTATAGATCAATAGAGCCGTCATACACCTGAGTTAGCAATAAATATTTACTACATTGATATTAGCCGCACCGCGTCTCCTCCCGAGGGGGAAGTGCGCGCTCTCTTCCTCCTCCTCCCCCTCCTCCTCCTCCTCCTCCTCCTC